TATGCCTAAAACAGCAAATCCTCCTAACTAGAATTAAGTTATTTAAAAGTACTGAAAAAATGTTAAATGAAAAATGAAATAAAAATCTTTGCTGAAATATAAATCTTTGAAAAAAAAAAAGAATTAAAAATTTTATTTAAAAAAGCATGAAATAGTTTCAATTGTTATTCTGTGCACAAGCTTATGGGTGCCACCAAAGCAAAAATTTGAAATTTTATTAGATGCCCATAGGAATAAATTAATTTCTTTGAAATATTATATCTTCTTATACTAATGTATTGAAACTATTACTTGGTTCTAAATAAAAATTGACTTTTTATCAGTAGGTTTTCTACTTTCATATTTATTTTGCCTTCAAATTTTATAAGAATGGATGATGATGATGTCCACTTAACATCTAAATTAAATCTCTTTTCAATTTTTTTTTAATCTAGTAAAATAATTGACATAGTTTTGACATGTTATAGAAGTAATTTTTATCTACAAAAATGTGTAGAGTTTTAATATAAACAAATATTAATAATTTGTTATAGCTAGTGTTGTCAAGTACATAAGTACTAGGCTTTAATATGACATCTTTGAGATACCAGATCAAAAATAACTTCAAAATAGAATTAAAAAATGGAACGGTCTAAAAATAGAATAAAGACTTCTAAAAATAAATTTAGCCAATTAAAAACTCCAATCTTGCTTTTTATTGAAAAGTTCTTACATATGATTGCCATAGAGACTTTTTTTTTTAAAAAATAAAAAGTAAATCTTGAAGATATTTCGATTAAACAACTTTTTTTTTTTAGATTAAAATAGTTATTACTTAATAGGTTTAAATAAAAAAAAAGGGTTTAAATTAAAAAAAAAGTTCTTTAATTTAACAACTATGCATAACAGAGATAAGCATTATAGCTTCATTAATACATTATTATCAAAGGTTCAGAGCAAGAATTATAATAAATAATATTTTGTAACAAATCACAAATGATTAAAATAAAGAAAATGAGCTTATAAACAACATCAAGTTAAACAAAAAGTTGGTGTTTATTGCAGAATTTTTAAAAGAAACTTCTTAACATAAAAGTTTGAAAGAAACTTCTTAACATAAAAGTTTAAAAGAAACTTCTTAACATAAAAGTTTAAAAGAAACTTCTTAACATAAAAGTTTAAAAGAAACTTCTTAACATAAAAGTTTAAAAGAAACTTCTTAACATAAAAGTTTAAAAGAAACTTCTTAACATAAAAGTTTAAAAGAAACTTCTTAACATAAAAGTTTAAAAGAAACTTCTTAACATAAAAGTTTAAAAGAAACTTCTTAACATAAAAGTTTAAAAGAAACTTCTTAACATAAAAGTTTAAAAGAAACTTCTTAACATAAAAGTTTGAACCACTGAGTAAAACAAATAGTACTTGTATTTTTTATAAAAGTTTTTTTTTATATTTTACTGGACAGTGCAACCATTTTTTTTAACATTATAATATAATTATTACTATAATATGTGAAGCTTATTATGAGTATAATATGTAAAGCTCTAGTTTGAAATGACTTAAAAAAAAATACCATATAAAATATCCCTGAAAATTATTTAAAGATACTTTATCCTTTTTTATTTATTTGGTATATTAAGTTTTATAAATCTTTTCTTTTTATTAGGTTTATTTAGGCTTAATTCGAACAAGTTATGCCGAATTCAGGTATATTTGCGTATATATATAACAACAACAACAACAACAACAAGATATTTATTTTCCTTTTCAAAATTTACATATAATCATATAATAAAAATAACAATAATATTTGTATTATCTATACTAATACAAACAATTTAATTATAATAAAATATAACTAATAAAAATAAATATAAATAATTATTTGAAAAGGAAGGTGTCATTTAAATAGAAGTCTGATCAAAGGAGTGACACCAAATAATTATAATAATAATAATTAAAAATAATAATATTATCTATAATAATACAAATAATATGATGACATGAGTGTCACTCATGATCAAAATGAGTGATACCAATTAATTATAACAATTAGTATAAAAATAAAATAATAATAAAAATAACAAATATGACCCGAAAATTGCTAAGAAAAAAATAATAATAATAATAACAACGAAAAAGCTAAAATAAGTCGAATATTACGACAAAAAATATGAAAAAACTCAATAACAACAGCAAATAAAAAAAAAAATTAGCAAAATAAAACAAATAAAAAACAAACCTTACACAAATAAAAAAGGCAAAACACAAAAACTACAAGATGAAACACAAAAACTACAAAACGGAAAGGCAAACACAAATACTTCTACAAAATAAAATTAAATTAAAAATTAACTTTTTAAATTAATATTAAAATTAAATTAACAAATAATAAAGACAAACTTTAGTTTCTCCTTATTTTTTCAAATTCATACACAAAATGATAATATTTAACAAATATAATATTTAATAAAAATAATTAATAGTAATATTATAATATCAATAATTAATATAATAATAAAAAATAATAAAAAGTAATATATATACCAAAATATATATACCAAAAGTGTACTCTGGAGTTTTAGATGTTTGGCTTTTGACACTTACCAACATTATGTAAACTCTAAACATTTGTATGTTCATGCTTGTGTTGAATGTGTATGTTTTTCAAAAAACTGCAGTAATTGGAGCTTGGGAACCAGTCCTTAACATAAGAGCAACTAGTTTATAGGATATTTTCTTTACTTTTTTTTTGTCTAAATTTCAAACTTCATTCAATAATAATAGTTTTTTTTGTTCTTTAGCTCCAATCACTGCAATTCTTTGCAAAACATTCACAACAACACGTATAGATATATATATACATATATATATATATATATATATATATATATATATATATATATATATATATATATATATATATATATATATATATATATATATATATATATATATATATGTATATATAGTATATATATATATACATATATATATATACATATATATATGTATATATAGTATATATATATATACATATATATATATATACATATATATATATATATATATATATATATATATATATATATATATATATATATATATATATATATATATATATATATATATATATATATATATATATATATATAGTATATATATATATATATATATATATATATATATATATATATATATATATATATATATATATATATGTTATATATATATATATATATATATATATATAAATATATATATATATATATATGTATATATATATGTATATATATATATGTATATGTATATATGTATATGTATATATATATATATATATGTATATATATATGTATATATATATATATATATATATATATATATATATATATATATATATATATATATATATATGTATATATATATATATATATATATATATATATATGTATATATATATATATATATATATATATGTATATATATATATATATATGTATATATATATATATATATATATATATATATATCAACCCTTGGAATTAGGGTCGGCATTCGGCAATGCCAACCTAACTGCCAACCTGAAAGTGTTTGAGGTCGGCAAAAAAATTGCCAACATTGTTTCTATGCTTTATGGTCAGACCTTTGTATCAAATAATTTTTCAACCCGAAAACACTTGACATAAAAGCTAAGACCGGAATGTATCAAAAGTATGGTCAATTATAAAGTTTCTTATTATGGTGAAAATAAAAAGCAACAGTTAAGTTCATTACGTAAGAAATTATTTGATCTCAAAGAATCTGCCAGGAAACAAGATGGGTATTAAAGATGGTAAAAGTTGCTAAAAAAGAGATTCTTTCAAACAATATTTAAAAGTCTTTAATGTGTAAGAAAATTGTAAAAGCAAACATTTTTTGAATTGCATATAAAGTTGCAAAAGAAATCCAGTCCTTTAATAACTTTGAAATGGAAATGAGTTTTAATAAAATTAATGGAGTTGAAATTGTTGTATTCTTTATTCTACAACGCATGCATTACTACTGTCAATCATTGGCAATGAAATGAGGAAAAAAATTATTGCAGAAGTCATAAAATCAAAGAGAAAATTTTCGGTAATAAATGATGAGTTAACCACTATGTCAAAAATCGATACTGATAGTGTAATTCAGTGCTATGTAAAATGCAGTGGAATGAATTTAGCAATCAATCTTTTTTTGAATTTAGTGGAACTTGAAAGCATTACAGCTGAAGGTCTGTTTGATGCTTTACTGGAATGTCTTCATTCTTATGGGATGAAAGTAGAATATTTGAAAAATTATTTACTTTCTGTTGCATGTGATGGTGTAGCAGTGATGTTTGTATGCAAAAGTGGCATTTTCAAATTAGTCACTGAAAAGTTTCTTTCTGTTATAGTTTGGCATTGTGCTATTCATAGAGTGGAACAATGAGCGACAATACAATTAGGGAGATCTCAAGTATTAACAGATTTAAATCATTTTTTGATAAGCTTTACCCCATGAATCATGCTTCCCAAAAAAAGTAGCAGAAAGTTACATTTATGCACAAAATTACTTTATATTCAGCTGCTAAAAATTGTTTGACTTTTAATATATGTAGTTGTTTGACTTTAAATATACTATTAAATAAATTAAAATGTTTTTTTTTTTTTTTTTTAAGATAATATAAAACATTTTAGAATCAGAAATAGAATCAGAAACACTAGAATCAGAAACAAAACATAGGTCAAGTAGAGAAGTTAAACGGGTTGTCTGGAAAGCGAGTTAGAAAGTTGACTATTTGAGTTAAAAATTGAGAAAGGAAAAAGTTGAGGGTCTTAACACCAGCAGAGTCACTGACACTAGAGCCAAGCCATTCAGTGTGATGGGCATGCTGAGACAGCTGAACTCGAATTAGTCTCACAAAGAGCAAGTAGGTCTGGTGAACTTTGCAAGAGATAAGACTCAACAGAAGGGAAGTTACTTCAAAGAACACGAGTATTAGTGAATGATGATGGTTTTTTGTGTTTTATAGAATGAGTTGCCTAGTCATAAAAACAGAGGCAGAAGCATAGCCTATGCATTGAGTCAAGAAAATCTAGCGTTCAACATCCTAAACTGGAAAGAATGAATTAAAAATACATTTGATAGATCAAGAAAGAGTGCAAGGCTGGTCAACAGATAGAATCTGTTTACTTCTTAAGTTTTTGCCAGGAGGCTTTCTACAAGACAGTAGCCGGATGCGTTTAACATCTGCCCAAGATGATTTTTTTTATTGAAACACCATCTTTATTTTTAGGACAGACTCAAAGCTTGTTTGTTTCTTTTATTCTTTAGACTAAAAGCTTTCATACAAAAAAGCTAAAAATTTTATTTAAGTTTAAAGAGGCATATATTATTCGAGTCAATAATTATTTGAATGGTCATACGAATGGAAATAAGATATAAGTTACTTTTACTTTCTATTGGGAGAAAAACTGTAAGCAAAGTCTACCTGAATTATATGTTATCTTCCTTTTCAATTAGGTTTACAAAAAGCCTAATCCATTAAAATTAATTTATAATTTACGAGCCTTTTTGTCAAGTTTAGTTTATTCATTGCCTCTTAGCGACTATAACCGCCTTACATATTCTTGGCATTCTAGTTAACGACTTATCCAATTTGTCAAAGTCAATTTTATGCCACTAACTAATAAGTTTTTTCCACATCTTATGCATCATTTGGTATAAGTTTTTGATATTAATTTTAATTCCACCCATAAAAATCTGATAGGAAAGAGATCTTGTGGTTGGGGAGGCTAAATCATTTTATTTAATATTTGAACCAAAGAATTAAAACTTCAACACATTAGTCCGCGTTTACAGTCATAGATGGTCCATTTTTTATGTAGTTTCGTCCACTTTTGCATTTTTATTTATCTTATGATTTTATCAAAACATTTTAACTAAAAAAAAGTTAATGTCATTCGAATAATTATGAATGGTAGTGTGTGTGTGTATATATATATATATGTATATATATATATATATATATATATATATATATATATATATATATATATATATATATATATTAATGTATACATGTATGTATACATTATGTATATATATATATATATATATATATATATATATATATATATATATATATATATATATATATATATTAATGTATACATGTATGTATACATATATATATATATATATTAATGTATACATGTATGTATACATATATATATATATATATTAATGTATACATGTATGTATACATATATATATATATATATATATATATATATATATATATATATATATATATATATATATATGTATATATATATATATATATGTATATATATATATATATATATATATGCATTCCTATATTATTTCAAAGTTACCTTATGTTTCAATCGGTTGTAATAAATTTAATTTATAGTTAATAAGTTTTTATAACTATAATTATAATTTATAATTAAGTAAATAAACTTGATAACACGGTAAATAATTGTTTAACATTGAAATATTGCTAAGTATAATCTTTTATTTCATTTTTATTTTTCTTAATTGGTTACTTTGTCATAAAAATAAAAACCTAATTTTAATTTGCAACGTTATGTCTAAATTGTTTTTTTATTTTAAATCCTAATTTAAATTACATTACATTACTGAGTAAAAAAATTAATTGCGTATTAGTAATTTTACAGAAAGTATGAATTAATTTTTTTAGTTTGTAAAAATTATTGCCTGTTTTTTAAAATTGTTTTAATATATTTTTCAGTGAATTTTAAGTGAAGTTTCAAAGACATTAAAAACGTGCCTTGCGTAATTTTCAAATTTAAATCTTTCTTTTAGAATTTTAAAAAGAATTAAAAAAGAAAATTTAAATAAAGACTATGTTCACATTTTAAAAAATCAAAAGTTTTTTACTATGTTTAAAAAAAACATGAAAACTAACTTGTTATTTTTAATTAATTATATGTTAATAAATAGTATTGCTATTAAAACAATTTTGTTAAACTCTATAACTATAAATATAATGAGTTATGTTATTCAACTATGCGTTTGTCAAGACATTTGTAATTTAAAGTGTTTTTTTTTAATATATGCATATTGCTAATTTTAATCATTTTCATTTATTGTAAAATGTATTTGTCTACATATAAATGTATTCTTTAAATTTTTTTTATTTTATTACAAATTTTGCACAAAAAAAAAATAAAGTTTTATCTTGTTAAGTTACTTCTCAATTGCTGTTTTTTTTTAACTAGTGAAAGTTAAAAAATTTTTAATATTCTTAACTGAGACATATCATATATAGATATCTAATTAAGGAAAACTTAAAGTTTGCAATATGTAGCATTAAGATCTAATGAGACAGGTTATCTTAAAAGATAACCTGTCTCATTAGATCACAATGCTACATATTGTAATTTTTTATGTTTGTAAATGTTACATATTGTAATGTGTATATATTATTACGATATATAATATGTACGCAAATGTTACATATTGTAACATATTATGTACATATTATATATTGTAATATGTATATAATATGTTATGTCTAAGTTATGCAAAAGTAACTGATATTTTGCACGTAACCTAACAAATCTTGTTTACGTTATAATGCGTAGCATAACTTTAAAATGTTCTACGGGTATATATATATATATATATATATATATATATATATATATATATATATATATATATATATATATATATATATATATATATATATATATATATATATATGTATATGTATATATTTATATATATATATATATATATATATATATATATTTATATATATATATATATATATATATATATATATATATATATATATATATATATATATATATATATATATATTATTAAACTTAAGGGAAGTTTACTCGACGCACTTTGGTGGAGGACATACGTGACATATTGAGAAAATATCCATGTGATGCTCAAATATTTAAAGTAATTTGTCTTTATCTTGTTATTTAAAAAATATAAAAAATTGAGTTACAAACTTTGGAAGAATATTTGTTTATTCAAGTAATCAATGTTATTTCTTTGCATTACAATTCTTTCTGTGTTTTTTTTTTTATAATTTTTTTTAATGATTTTTATTTAATTAATTTTTTATAAATTATTATTCAATCAAATCTACTAAATAGTAATCGCTGCATCAGATTTTGCTTTTCACTTCCTTGCAATCTACATCTTTAAAACCCACATTCATGTTATATTGTATTTATCTTACTCAAATTTGCTCTTTAAATTCTTTAAATGTTTAAACAAATGCTTTAAATGTTAACAGTTAAATGCCAACAGTTTCTCCTCTGTCTTTGGAGTCAAACACAAATGAACTGTCTTAGAATAGTTCTAAACCCACTATTAGTTAATTTGAAAGGGCTTTCAAGGCAGTTAAGAACGGATGCATTCCAATGTAAAGCTTAAAACAATCACTTCTAAGTTAAAAGCTTTTATTTTATGGATTCATAAGTTTTTAATAATCTACCATCTAGTGTTTGTCAAAATAGCAAATCCTGTATAAACCTTTTTGTATAAGTAAATAAATATTGTTAGGACAGATTTTTAAATATTTATGATTTTCATCACCTACTTTTTTGCAACTCCATGTCATAAGACTTTTTTTGATGCAGTTTTTTTGTAAAGGCTAAGTAAAGCAACCTACAATTTTTTTTTCTTTTTTTATTATTTAATACTTTTAATTTTTTTTAGTTAATTTTTTGACATTTTTTGTGATCACGCAACACAAGAATCATAACTTAAGTTGTTTTTTTTTTTTGATAAAGATTGTTAACAATACTTTTTTTTTTAATTTTTTTTCTTTAAACATTTTTTCTTTATGCAAATAGTTATTGGTCGATTTTTAAACATATCAATAAATATAATATTTCTTATGACAACATTAACTGTATTTTACTTCTTTTTTTTCCTGATAACAACAATTATCTACTACATATCTATATTGCTATAACATAAATATTATGTTAATAGAAAGATAATATATAATAGATATAAAGAAGTTTAGTTCATAAGAAATATAGAAAAAAAAATTAATAACATTCTTTACATGTCTACTTAATGATAATAGTTATTATATAAAACGAATTGTTATTAATAATTATTACTAATAATAATAATAATAATAATAATAATAATAATAATAATAATAATAATAATAATAATAATTACTGTTATTAATAATTGTTATTACAATTGTTAAAAAACGAATTGTTATTAAAGGTTATAAGACAATTATTAATAACAGTTTTATCATAAATTATACAATAGGTATTTAATGTAAACTCATTTTAGGAGATAATACAGAATGGAGAAGATGCAGGTGCATCGAAAATAACTTTTGTGTACGATGAAAATACCTATACTGAACAAAATAATTTTAGTATTGCTGGTTTAAAAGATTACCAAGTAGGTATTTAAAAACTAGTTCTTTACAATATTTAAAAAAAAAAGTAATTAACAAAATAATTTTAAATATTTTATGAGTGTAAAATAGTTACTAGTGTAATTATTACATCAATTATTAAATTAGTAAAATTATTTTTAAAAAAACAATTATATTACTTTATAACTGATATAAGCTATATAAATTTTAATGAAAAAAATTAGTTAAAAAGTTATTTAGGTGTCAATTAAGAAATTTGGTGTCACTAAAGGTTTGACTCAGTGATTCTACATATCAGTTAAAACAATAAATCATTACCCATCATTTTGTTTTTTTAGTAATTTTAATAATGGTAAGCAGTATTAGAGAGTAAGTATTCTACATTGTATTCTGTATTTTTTCAGAGAGTAAGCTGTTAGACTTAATAAAATTGCAATTTATTAGGTTTGTATTTCTATTTTCATTTTAAATTTTCCTTATACCTAAGAGAAGTTATAAGATCAAAATTATGAGAGATAAAATGTTACACTTTTGTAAATGACAATATTAATGACCTAGCCTTTTAGATAAAATGCAGATTTTTTAATCTGATAGCAATGAATAACACCAGGCTATACCATTTTAACAAATAGATGAATTGATTATATACCATGATTAACAAATAGATGAATTGATACATAAGTGACTTTGTTTTGTTTGGTTCAACATTTTCAGGTACTTAATTCGTATTTTTAATTAATAGCAAACTTAACGCAATCATAGATAGTATAAAAGATAATATAATGCATAATATAACGCATAAAACCTTAAGCAATAAGCAGCTGCCTCATTTTTTTCTTTTCAACCATTAGTTATAACTTAGGCTTAGAAAGTACATTAGTTATAACTTAAGCTTAGACTTACAAAGTACATTAGTTATAACTAGGCTTAGGTTTACAAAGTACATTAACTTCCTTAGAAAACTTGATTTCTTTTTGAATACTGCTTTGCCAACATGTGCAGCCTGCAAACTTTTATTTGATGTAGCGGATCAAGTATTCATGCCAAACTACACTAGAATAACAGATGAACATTTTGAACATGGTACACATCTTTTTATTTGCTTCACATGACCTAAATAAAACAAAACAAACGTAGTTGTTAAGAAATCAAGCTAATTTATAAATCTTTAGAGTTTAGTGTAAACCTGCCAGACTGTTGCAAAACCATATGATAAATTGATGGATTGAATATATACATGTTTTATTTCAAGATAATTTAAAAATTTATGTCCTTTGTGTTAATGTTGGGTAGTGTATGGTGGGGTAATATAGATAGGTGGAGAATATGGACATATTGAATTAGTATGCATGGAACAAGTTATCTTTTCTAAATGCTAAAAATTGAAATATACTAACAGTTTCCACACATAATTGGCTTCTTTTTTTTTTTTTTGCATTAAAAATTTTTCATATGAATAGTTAATCAATAAAGTATGTAATTTATTAAAAAACATAAAAATTTTTATGTTTAAAAACTTTTGTCTGCAGACTTCAGTAATATTACTTAAGTAAGTATCATGATGTAATTTTTATATTAAGACCATCATGTAACAAATTGTATAGTTATTTTATAATTTCTCCCACCCATATCAAAAAAAAAAAAAATTAAAATTGATTATAAATCGAATAGGTGTGGGGTAAAATGGATAGTATACTATTTTTTAAATACAAATAAAATTATAGAGTTTTTTTGAAAAATCATATAAAGAATATATATATATATATATATATATATATATATATATATATATATATATATATATATATATATATATATATACATATGTATATATATATATTTATACATATGTATATATATATATATTTATATATGTATATATATATATATTTTTATGTATACATATATTTATATATATATAAATATATGTATTTATATATATATATATACATATATATATATATATATATATATATTTATATATATATATATATATATATATATATATATATATATATATATATATATTATATATATATATATATATATATATACACACACACCAGAAACGGATTACATTTTCAAAACCACCATACCTTGTTCTGTTATGACCTTGATTTTGAAAATATTCTGTCAATTTCTAAAAAAAATAAAAGGGGGTTAAACAAGCTGGTCCAGAATTTTTAGTGGTTAAGATAGATAACTTCCAGAAATGGTGCTTTATAAAATTATGTAATAATTATACCAATACACAATAAGAATGTTTTAGAAAAAATTGCAACGATCAGAGACTGGAAACAATATTAAACCTAAATTTTGGGTCCTTGTGTCCCATGTATGGTTTCAAATCAAAAAAAAATTTTTTCCTTTATAATATCTGTAACTAGGTTAAAATTAATTGATAGATTTAAAATTTCATACAAAAATCTCTTCTCGTTAAAAAGTTATTAATATTTATTTTATTAATTATTATTAATTAACTCCAAAAAATAACTTTAAAAGGTCACAACTTTTAAACGGCATATTTTTTTGGAATGATATTTAAAATTTGTAAATAAATTTTGATTCTAACAAATATTAAAAAAATTATTAACTTTTTGAGGGCGTTATGTTAGGGGCATGTTCTTAGAGTTTTAATATGATTGGGTCCGATTACTGGGACCCAAATAAAAAGAAGATTTTAGTTTTTTGTTGTGGTTTTTAGTGATATTTATTATATCAAGTTAATAATAACTGTTTCATATTTTACAAACTAACTTTTCACAATAAATTATATATATAGTTAATCAGTAAGATTTTCAGAAAAGAAAGAATGACGAGAGTTATATGTAACAGTAGCTTTATGCAATCTTTTTGAATAATTTTTGTAACATTTGGATACCTTTTAACTGTTTTCCCATAACTGACTAAAATTTTGATGAACAGATTCAGAGGCTTAGTCTAGAACTTTGTTTGGATAATCACTTGACATCATTTTTAAAAATTCTACTGTATGTTTTACTAAAGCTTGTACTTTAGGTGATACTCTTAATCAAAGTTTATAGTAGAATTCTTGATAATCTTTTACTTTTATTTAGTAGTCGGGTTTTAAAGTCATTGCTAAACAACATACTTTAACTAGTGTACATACTGTAGCTCCATCAGAGCAAGAAGTATTATAACCTTTATTTCATCTGGTAAATTGATAAGTGGTTGGTCTATACAGTTGTAATAGGGTATTGCAAACATTATTTTTAAAATTCAAAATTTTTAAAATAATGTTTGCTAGCTATACACCAAGGGCAAGGATGAGTTGAGGCTGCAGTTTCTTTTCCAAAAAAATATTGGCCAACTTTATATTGAAAGAACAAAAATATTTAATTCTTTTTAAATTAATAAAATCGATTGCTACTTTCATATTTGTTTAAGATTCTTGCAAAATTTTATACAAATGCAATGATAATGAGTTTTTTATCCCACCATCTTTGTACTTTTCTTTACATATGCCTTTGTCATAACTAAATTTTTTTACCTTTGCTTTAGATATCTCGCAACGATCCAAGATATTTAAACAAATTTTCAAAAATCCATCTCCTCTATCAATGCCAACTTTTAAAATGTACTCACTTAAAATATTTCTTTTTTTGACAACATTTTTCACCAGTCCTAGAATATCTTTGCAATAAGCCATTACCTTTTCACCCTCATTAAATTTAACAGATCTTACATCAAAGTATTCATTTAAAATGGCCTCATCTTCAATCAGTTTGTTTCTTGTATTTTTTTCAAAGGATTTGCAACCTTTCCAACTTCTAAAAATACTTAAAACTTTAGCACCTTGTGTGTTACTGAGACATGTCTTTAGTACCTTGTGTGTTACTGAGATGTGTGTTACCACATGCATTTTTTGATTTGTTCACTTCATTTGTAGGTATCAGTGAATCAGTAAACAATGCTTTGGAAAAAGTTTTTGGTCTTTCTATACTGATTGAAGTTCTGCATGATGCAACCTTAATTAAATTGCCTTGTTTTTCAAATGTTTTGGAACATTGCAATTCGGCACTTCTATTATCTAAATAAAATCTACAATATAAAATTTCTTTTTACTTTGGAATTATTATTATAATTTGGTTTTAATAGGAACTTAATAATGAAATTCATTATTAAGTTCCTATTAAATCATTATCATTTTTTACCTTCATCTAGTTGCTTCATTAGATTTTCCCTTCTCTTTGTAATACAACAGGTGTGGGCTAATCCTGGTCCAATAACATTTAAACATCTTTTACAAACTTTAACTGGTCCGGAGAGGGTAAAACTTTCATGTTGAGTTTTGGTCTTCCTTTTTTTTCTATATTTGATCCACGTGTTAAATTACTACTAGCAGTAAGGCAAATATCACATTGGCAAAACTGTTAGTTTCTAGTAAGAATTGTTTCTTTGATCTTAGAGAAATCAAATGGTTTACATAAAACTATATTGGTATTACCTTTTTCTGTTTTTACTAAACTAAATCAACATCTTCCACAAATTCCATTTTGGAAAACAGTTATCATTTAAACTAATATTGTTAATGAAATATTTTTAAATTCTCAATAAAACTACACTTCCTTCTTGTATTTTACTTACATTTTTTCCTTTTTCAAAGCAAATTAAACAAACTTTACTCCTACTTTGACAGTAACATAGCCTTGAATACAGCATTTCAAAAGTGAAATAATAATTAATATTTAAATTTTCAAAGCACAACTAACGATATCACAAATGCAACAAAACATAAATTACAATAATGCATAAAAATTAAAACTCGTCAAAACTAGAAGTGGTTTTTAATTAACCAATTTCAAATATTTTAGCAATAAAGAATGATTTTGAAGGTTATTTAAATTGACGTGATACAAAATAAAATAGTAGTTTGTAAAGGTAAAACGTGACATTTTAAAATCTCGCTTTGGTAAAACATGCAGAAGAATATTTAAAAAATTTTATATATAATTTATTGTGAAAAGTTAGTTTATAAAATATGAAACAGTTATTATTAACT